TGGGAAAAAATGTTTATTAAGAAGTGTTTCATACAGATATGTCTTCTATCTATCACTCTTCCTTTTACCATTGCCTTCTGTCTTCTCACACAGAACAATGGGTTGTGTGTATGTATGTATGTATATATGTATGTGTTCTGTCTCACCTGTGGCCACGAGGTGAGAGTCCAAATGTCCAAAGGAAAAAACACGAATAGACAATATCAGGAACAACAGAGTTAACTATCCTTTGGCTGAATTCGTGGTTGGCAGTTTTCCCAGAAGCTGTCTGCAAATTCTGATAACGAGCAGAACTATAAATCAGAGACGAACAGCAAACAGAATTACTTTGTCCAAACTGCAAACGCAAATTAACAAGTTTGACCCGAACGGGGATTCAGAGCTAACACGCCTCCTTATATTCCCTGAGGGGCATGTCAGTCTCTTTCCTCAGTCCCTGATTCGACGTCTCCTTCCAGTTTGTGCTTGACGTTTCTGCTTACATCTGTTCCTTGCATCAAACCAACATTCTTCGGTTTGATCTTCATCCAAGGACTCCGGCACGTTCTCCTGCTTATCTGCCGACACCTGAGGCATAACTAATGAGGAAGGTCCTGGAGAGGATGAGGATTCCGAAACTTCCAGCAAAGCAGGTTCAAACCCCAATGCCAAGTCCTCCTCTTCCTCCTGACTCCCATTTATGTCACCCAACAAGGCAGGCTCAAACCTTAATGCCAGATCTTCCTCATCACTCGAGCCTATGTCTTCTGACAGGGCAGGTTCAAACCTCTGAGTCACAACATGTATGTATGCATGTATATGTACACACATATACATATACGCACATGTATATACACAGACATATGTTCACACACACACACACACACACACACACACACACACACTGAGCATGTTTGTTGATTGTACATGATTCTTACCTGGTGGGATGCAGGCAAAGTATGTTAGATTTGTTGAGCCTTCGAAGGTAAACAAGGTCAGCAAACAGCAGTTGTTAAGAAATATTGGTATGTGTTTGTACCTATGTGTGTGTATGAAAACAATATCATCAAAGAGGATAGCAGTAGTGAAATTGGCGGGGGGGGTTGTAGAGTTTCACATGTTAGAAGCAATACTGGTGTACTTCTCAAAAAAAATTAGGGCCACATTCATGCCTGATTAGAGCATGTAACATGAAATCCTCCTATAACCCCCCTCTATTTCCACATATACCTAATATAAGGTATGCTGCCATATACACTGCTCAAAAAAAATAAAGGGAATACTTAAATAACACAATGTAACTCCAAGACAACCACACTTCTGTGAAATCAAACTGTCCACTTAGGTAGCAACACTGACAATCATTTGACAATCATTTTCACATGCTGTTGTACAAATGGAATAGACAACAGTTAGAAAGCATAGGCAATTAGCAAGACATCCCCAATAAAGGAGAGGTTCTGCAGGTGGTGACCACAAACCACTTCTCAGTTCCTATGCTTTCTGGCTGATGGTTTGGTCACTTTTGAATGCTGGCGGTGCTTTCACTCTAGTGGTAGCATGAGACGGAATCTACAACCCACACAAGTGGCTCAGGTAGTGCAGCTCATCCAGGATGGCACATCAATGCGAGCTGTGGCAAGAAGGTTTGCTGTGTCTGTCAGCGTAGTGTCCAGAGCATGGAGGCGCTACCAGGAGACAGGCCAGTACATCAGGAGATGTGGAGGAGGCCGTAGGAGGGCAACAATGTAGTGTCAGGACCGCTACCTCTGCCTTTGTGCAAGGAGGGACAGGAGGAGCACTGCCAGAGCCCTGAAAAATGACCTCCAACGGGCCACAAATGTGCATGTGGCTGCTCAAACGGTCAGAAACAGACTCCATGAGGGTGGTATGAGGGCCCAACATCCACAGGTGGGGGTTGGGCTTACAGCCCAACACCCTGCAGGACATTTGGCATTTGCCAGAGAACCCCAAGATTGGCAAATTCGCCACTGGCGCCCTGTGCTCTTCACAGATGAAAGCAGGTTCACACTGAGCACATGTGACAGATGTAACAGGGTTTGGAGACACCGTGGGGAACGTTCTCTTGCCTGCAACATCCTCCAGCATGACCGGTTTAGCAGAGGGTCAGTAATGGTGTGGAGTGGCATTTCTTTAGGGGGCCGCACAGCCCTCCATGAGGTAGCCTGACTGCCATTAGGTACTAAGATGAGCTCTTCAGACCCCTTGTGAGACCATATGCTGGTGCGGTTGGCCCTGGGTTCCTCCTAATGCACGACAATGCTAGACCTCATGTGGTTGGAGTGTGTCAGCAGTTTCTGCAAGATGAAGGCATTGATTCTATGCACTGGCCCGCTCGTTCCCCAGACCTGAATCCAATTGAGCACATCTGGGACATCATGTCTTGCTCCATCCACCAACGCCACATTGCATACAGACTGTTCAGGAGTTGGGAGATGCTTTAGTCCAGGTGTGGGAGGAGATCCCTCAGGAGACCATCCGCCACCTCATCAGGAGCATGTTCAGGCATTGTAGGGAGGTCATACAGGCATGTGGAGGCCACACACAGTACTGAGCCTCATTTTGACTTGTTTTAAGGACATTACATCACAGTTGGATCAGCCTGTAGTGTTTTTTTTCCACTTTAATTTTGAGTGTAACTCCAAATCCAGACCTCCCTGGGTTGCTAAATTTTATTTCCCTTGATAATTTTTGTGTGATTTTGTTGTCAGCACATTCACCTATGTAATGAACAAAGTATTTAATAAGAATATTTCATTCTAGGATGTCTTATTTTTGTGTTCCCTTTATTTTTTTGAGCAGTGTATTAAGTAGAAATACAATAGATGTCTTTTTGGAATTTCTCTGCTGTTTCCATCATTCATTATGATGGATGATGATAGCAATACTATCTTAAGTACCCTACCTTCTCTGAATCCAGTTTGCACATCTGGGCTTTGTCATTCAATGTATTGTTAATTCATAATTTATAGTTGCAAAGTCCTGAGTGCTATCTTACCGGTCAGATAAGTTGAACACTTCAATTCTTTGAGCATTCTTTATACTACCTTTTTTGATATTACAATATAACTTGGAAAAAATACCTTAAATATAACTTGAAAAAAAAGTTTAATTTTTTTTTTCTGAATCCCCCGGCCACTGTTTTTTTGCTATACATATTTACAAACTATATGAAGTGCATTAATTACACTACTTTGTAAGATTCTAAACAGTTACCTTGTATTTTATCAACTTCTCAAGCTCTGTTGTTAGCAACATTTTCTAGGGCCCATGTACTTCACTTCCAGATGTGAGGCTTTTTGTTGATTAAGTAAAACTCTGGATTTTCTTTCGAAGTATGTAGTCCATTTGATTTCCATGGAGATTCTTAGTCATCTAGATCATGGTTATTCCAAAGGTGCTTTTTTAAAAGGCAATTTGACTTTGTTTTTCCTTGAAGACATATTGCTTCTCCTCTAAGAAGTTTCTTCAGCCTCTTCAGAAAAAGCACCTTTGGGACATCCATTTGATTTCATTGATATCCATCTGATGATCTCTTTATATAAAGTTATATTTTATCCTAAAAAATATTTTCAAGAGAAATCTTATTACTATATCTTTGCAGAACATTGCTAGTCTATCAGTTTCATATACGAAATCCCAATTTTTCTGTTATTCCAGATTATTTACTACTGATTTTAGCCTTACATGCAATTAATATTAAGTTTTTTTGTACTGTACTGATATTGTATTGCAAATTAACATAGAACTATTTAGTACTGGTGTCCTTACTATTTATGGTTAGAGCATAGATTGGGATTAACATTGTATTGAAAAATTTGCCTTGGACTTCAATTGAGCATAATTCTTTAAAACAAGAATGCATGATGTCCCCTATCTACAGATAACTGCAAAACAAATGTTGCCTATGAAAGAGTGCTATTAGAAGATTGAGAGTATGAATGTATGTGTACTTTTTATGCAGAAGGCACTGTGCTGTTGACTGAGGTCTGATATTTGTAGTGATATAGTAAGAAATAAGATACCAAAAATTAATGCTTCAAAAATATTGTATTGCATAAGAGATATTGTACCAAAAGTTAATTGTGAAAGATGCAATAGTTGTGCTTAACAGAAAGGTAAGCGTACAAGGTATGCAAGAAACAAGAACAAGTAAATTACATTATGTATTATGTAGTTTCTTGTGAACAAACAATGTAGAAGGAAGTTAAGAATTAAGAATAAATGGGTATTGAATGAATAAACACTGAACAGAAAAGTGACTGTCAACTCTAAATAGATTCACCTGGTTTGAAATAAAGAAAATTAAATCTGAGTTGCAAAACAAACTTATGAAATGAATTGAACAGAAAAGATAACAAATAAATTCATTTATTGAATCTTTCAATTTGATGAAATTGTTAATCCTGAAAAATTAGGATTTTTTGGTAGGCTATGAAAAGTGACCTAAAAAAACGTAAGCAAGGTCAGGCTAGAAAAGTACCACCACCAAATCCTAGCCTTGTAAGCTATAGGAAAGTCAATAAACTATCCAGAAGATGGTGACAACTCCTTGTATGAAACTGCATGAATTTGTCCCTATATCCCCTTAAAAGTTGTTAGTGCCAACTTCTCTCGGTCTTTCAATGCGCACACACATCTGGGGACTTTTCCTGAAAAGGGAGAAGATGCTACATTGATTCTTCAAACTTCTCTTTTCTCAGCTTTAATGTCAGATTCTCAGTCATCCAGATTATGGTTGTCCCAAAGGCACGTTTTCAAGAGGCAATGGATTTCCTGGTTTTTCTTCGAAGACGTTTCGCTAAAAAAGCTTTTTGGATGAGAAGGAAAACTAGGTTACAGCGCTCGCTCTTCCAGGTCAATACCCTCCAATACTTAGGGGCCGCTGCTTCGCATTTCTGCGGGACCGCTCTTCTCTACCCGCTACAGAATCTCTTTGACGCAGGGGCGGTACGAGCTCAGGAGGATGTTTTTGTTGGGTGACGTAGAGGACAAAGGCTGTAGAGGTCGCGTTTCCGGGGCTGTGAGTTTGCGCATGAATTGTTTCCTGCTTCGAGCACTAACTGCTCCTTGAGGCAAGGAGCTGCCGATGGAGTCTGTCTGTAGTACTGCAGGTAGGGGCAGTTATTTCCCCTGCTATTTATGCACAGGACTCACAGTGTGGTGAAGGGCTTCTACAATCAGCAGCACTGCTCTTTCCCTCTCATATGTTGTAATTCTGCTTTTATTTTTCTCTGAATTTACACTGGGGTTTTCCGGATAGTTTGGGATTGCGGTTCCCAGCCAGCAAGGAATAGACCAGGCTGGATAGAAAGGTGGAGAAAATATTGAGGTTATCAAAACAATGCTTTAAACATCCCATGCTTTTCCTAGTAAGCAGATTTCCAGATTCATTGTTCCATTCTTGAAACTCTGGGTTATTAAGTCATTAGAGACTGAAGTTATATTAAAGAGGCAGTGTTGCTTTTTGACTCAAGATTTGTGAGTAGTTTTAGTGCTCCCACGTTTCACTTTCTAGTGGGCAAAAATGACGTTCACCAAGGAAGATTATTTTCATTTATATTAAGTCAGAATGCAGCAGTTTTAACCTGTTTGTGTTCCCAAATGATTAGAATGATTACATATATTACTTTTTAAACAATACAACAATTTAACTAAAAATATAAAAAGAACTATCCTAATCTTGAGTGGGAAGAGAGATAATATAAAACTATGTTAAAACATTATTTTTATTAGGAATCTTCAGGTTTACAGAATACTATGCAAACTTGAGTTTCTGAGGGAATGATCTTCATCAGATTAGAGTTGGTTGAAGTAAAGGCATACAATGTGGCTAAGGGCAAGGGTGGCTCAGAGATAATAGATTTCTAAGGGAGACATGTCTTAAACAACTTTCATCAGGTTTGTATGCTACAAATATCCCTCAGTATTTATAAACTATGATGCTGTGATAACATTGAACATGTTACATTGATTGAGGACTGCTTTTACCTCCCTCTTGCTTTTTCTTCTAAGCTGTTGCTAAAGTTTTATTTATATGTTTTACTTAACTTCTATGGTGCCTTTTTTCCAAGCCAGAATGCCATTGCTGAAAGAAATATCCTGTACAAAGCTAGCCTGGCAATCAAACATATATATATATATGTGTGTGTGTGTGTGTGTGTATGTTCGGGTATTTTCCCACGTCATTGTAGTTGTGCTTTTAAAGTTGTAGCAATGTTTCGGCAGAATCTCATCTGCCATCATCAGGCTTCTGTATAGTGTTCATCTGGTCACCTGAACACTATACAGAAGCCTGATGATGGCAGATGAGATTCTGCCAAAACGTTGCTACAACTTTAAAAGCACAACTACAATGATGTGGGAAAACACCCGAACAAAGCTGAATGCCATATATATGTATGTATGTATGTATGTATGTATGTATAGTTCTATAACCTGTACATACTTACACATTGTTCTAACCCAATGTTTTTCAAACTTGGCAACTTTAAAACTTCTACTTGCATCCCACACATCTTAAAGTTGCCATATTTGAAAAACGTTGTATACATAATTTGCCTATAGTGACTGCATTGTATTACAGATTAGTACAATGTGTGAACAGTGTAGTTCTCCACTTAATCTAATCTCCTTTGTTCTAACAGTGGCTTGTCGGTTTATCAGCCAGAAGTCTTAGCTCCTATTACTTGATCTTTTTAACCAAACATATGCGAAATGAACCAGGGATGTTTTGCATTCAGAACTATTACAAATCTGCTGCCCTTTCTAGGTCCACAGTGGCCCTAGTTAAAATGATAACATAGTTAGACAATTTTAATTCAAAATATAATCCTAAACCTTATAATAATGACTTTTAGATTGCTTTCTTTTCTGCTTCGCATCTGTTGAGATTCTGTTGAGATAACTACAGTATATATTTGGAAGCTGCTTTCCCATTCCATAATAACACAGAAACTTTTGGAGATGAAAAAGGCCATACATGCAGCCTTATTTAGTGACTAGTGATCCAGGCATCAAGCAAAACAATCACTAAGTTCTTCTTTTTCTGTATCTAGATTAAACTTTAAACTACCAGAATGAAGTTACTTTCTTGGCTTTGTCATTGGCCAAAAATAAGTTACCAATACATATTTATGGTAGTAGCAAAATACTAGCAGATGTACTAGACTCTGTGTTTCTTACATTCACATAGCATGCAGTTATTTGTTAAGAGCCTCCACTTGAGCACATTGGTTTACATTTAGGCACTCCAACTCTAAACCTATTCATGGTCCTCCAAGTAGTATAAAGTCAAGATCCTTCAGCCATATCCTTCTTTAATGCTATTCTTTGCTTCCTCTATCTTTTAATTTGATTTTGTTCTCGTGTACCCTTAATAATGCTTGTTCTTGCCATAAAGCTGTCTCTAGATCTGAGTCAGCAGACTTGGGGAATATGTCCATTCAAAGGATGTTGAGGATCATTCTCTTGCTTAGATCTCTCAGCATCTGCTGCTATCTTTCTCCCGATCATGGGTTGGGCAATGCCAGTGAGACAATGTTTTCTCAGTGGGTATAGGTTTGAGACAATGTGCACTAAGCATACTGCTTCATTAATAGCAATATCAACTTATTTCACATGTGCAGATGTGCCCCATACTGTGTTGCAGAGACGCTCAAGGCCAAAGCTTATGTGCGCAATGTAGATAGATGGTAGATATTTGTTGTTAGGGGCTGGTTGATCGTTTATATATATGTTATGCAACACTGGAGACAATTCACTTCCTTTTTGCAGCCTGTTCTTCTGCATCCTCCATCTATTGTTCTTACCATCACATAAAATCTTCGCTTCTGGAGGAAGCTGCTAATGACTTTGGTAAGCTTATTGTCTCTAGTGATATTATTTAACTTGTGCAGCATTATCCTATGGTTAATCATATGTGCAGTTAGGTTGATGAAAGCCAATCCAGTAATTAGCTTTCTTTCTAAGCCATCCTCAATCACTAAATGAAAAATCACAAACTGCAACTGCAACTGCGACCTTGCCTATGATTTTTCACAGGACAGTGCTTATTAACTGACATGATTAAAAGATGCTGCAAAAGATGCTGTGGCCATTGATTGTAAAGTTAATTTTTCATTACTGTCCAAAGTAATCATTGTCTGAATCAGTCACTGAACAAAGGCTATATGTATTTGATGCACTTGAGATTATCAGAGGATAACATAAAATACAAAGTAAATAGTGCCATGTCAAATGGATAGGTGGGGAATGGATTCCCCCTCTCAATTCCCCCTCTCAATTACTGGTTATAAATATAAAAATATTATGCTCTGTTCATGCTACCTTAGGATTATGGATTGATTATGGGTAGTACTATGCTTCTAATGGCAAGAACCTGCACTGAGATTTGACAATCATGGTTGCTGGGAGTGCCAGATGTTGAAGGAAAAGTGGCAGGGGGTTTAGACTGGGGTCGCCAACCTTTTGGATCTCAGAGACCACCAAACTCATAATTTTAAATCTTGGGGACCACTAATATGAATTTTGACTGATGGTGGCTTGCTGACTTTGGTGGGAAAGAGAGAGATCTGATCTAACCTCCCCCCCCCATACACACACACACACACACGCACACACAAACACACAGAGGCAGGGGTGGGATTCAAATTTCTTAACCAGTTCTTGGGTGTGGCCTAATTTGTGGGTGTGGCTTGGTGGTCATGTGACTGGGTGGGCATGGCTTGTATGTAAATATTATAAATATTTATGTAAATATTGATTTTTTTAAATTAAAAAATGAGCAACTTTTACCCACAATCAGGCAAAGCAGGCAGGCAGATTGTGTTGGTCACAGATTCAGAGATCTATCTTTCTACCATCGGCTACCTAAGTCTGTCACATAAAATTTGCTTGCAAGCAAACTCATAAAATTTGCTAGCAAGCAATCTCACAAAATTAACTCACAAGACACCATGTATGTAAATATTGATTTTTTTATTTTAAAAAGAGCAACTTTTACCCAAAATCAGGCAAAGCAGGCAGGCAGATTGAGTTGCTCACAGAATCACAGATTCATTTAGAGATCTGTGTTTCTGCCACTGGCTATCTGAGTCTGCAATTGAATAAGAGAACCTTTAGTCCTAAGGGAGGTTCGCAAAGCTGAAGATCTAAAGATAAACTAGAAAGCAAGAAATCCAATGATTTCCTGCTTTCTAGCTAATCTAAATCTCCCAGAACAGCAGAACAGCTGATGGTTGGAAAAAAAAGGCAAAATAGCAACTTAGCAGGCAAATTTGCCAGGTAAGGAGTGAGTGGCCGGAGGGTTCCTGCGGCCCACTGGTTGGCGACCACTGGTTTAGACTATACGAGTTGTCAAAACAGAAGGTAGGGGGTGGGGTTGGTCTACACCTATCTAGGAATTAACTTTTTTTCTCTTTATTTGCCCTTGTATATGCATAAACAAATATGAGTTGTACATGTTTGCATAAGATACTGAATTAGCTTGAATTCCTGTATGTCATATGAATTAAGAATGGAGTAAGGCAGGGTTGTATTCTGTCTCCTCTTTCGTTTGACTTGGCCTTTCACATTGGACGTATTGAGTCCCATGCCCCAAAGCTGTCAACTACGAAGATCCCACTTCTCCTTTATGCTGACAATGCGGCCCTCCTTTCATTGTCAAGGCCAGGTCTGAAAAGATTACTTTCTGCATTCGGCTCTTACTATGCTGAGAACCACTTGTCCATTAATTATGACAAATCCAAAGTATTGGTGTTCTCTAGAGCCTGGAAATTGTATAACTGGGCTATCAATGGTAATGCTGTTAAGCAGGTTTTCCATTTTAAGTATTTAGATATTCAATTTCACAACACCAGTGCTTGGACTAGACATCGAACCCAGGTGCTGAATTCGGCCTCCTGTAGTCATCAGCAGATTTTAAGATATTTTTATACCCAGGGAGGCCAGTTTATTCCTTCTGCTCTGCGTATTTACAGAACCAAAACTTTGGCTCAAACTCTTTACGGATTTCCCATATGGATACGGGGCTTCAAGGATTGTATTGAAAGAACCCAAGCTGTCTTTCTTAGAAAACTTCTGGGTCTTCCTCCTTGTGTTGGTTTTGCTCTGA